TGATAAATCAAAGTACTGGGACAGTCCTACCTACAAATGCCCCAACTTTAAGCAACTAGTACGAGCAGCCAAGTCTGCATCCACAGCTACTGAAACACATCTACATACACACACATACCCAGAGAAGCCACAGGTGCTAACTTCCCACAAGAGGCTCTCAAAACTTTGTTTAAAACTGTTTTTGAAGACATTTTTGAACCTATAGTATAATTAGACATATTTTTGGTGCTGTGTATGACCTTGGAAACAGTGGAGATCAGGATTTTTGCAACAGTGACTGAGGGCACTCTAACAAGCTGCAGAGGACTGTGGCACGTGTGTAAGACAATCTGGGTCTCTTCAACCTTTCTCAGACCAGCTATGCTCCCTTTTTATCTGCTGGAGGCTCTGTAAGTAAGTACATTTGAACAAATACTGTCATATGGTCAAGGGCATGGTTTTGGATAGACAGATACTGGTTTCCATCCTGGCTCTACCACTGAGCAGTTTTGTGAATTTCTCAAATTCTTCACTATAAAGTGGGAATAACAATATCTTTCTTGGGACAATTAATGGGACATTTATAAAGTTCTTAGCATAGCGCCTGGCACACAGCAATTGCTCAATAAATGACACCCACATTGGCCACATTTCTAACCCCAAGAGACACTCCTAGTTTTCTGTCCCTTCACTTTACCACCAAAAAGGGGGAGAAGTGATGTGAAAAAGGACAGGACACAGGACATAGGGGCAATGTTGCTGAGATGGTGAAGCTTCTGGGAAGAAGAACAGAAATGAAACACTTTAGTTTTCAACAGTGGGATTTTGGGGCTTCTTCCTTTTCCTGTCTCTTGGCCTACTTGGCATCCTATTCTTGGAATCCTGCCACAGGCAGGTTCAACATCAGGGCCCTTCCTCTTGTGAGGGGCCCATCCCTAGCTGTTTGAGGTCAAGCAAGAAGTGAGGTGGGATTCAGGTCAACTGACCCTACATGAAGAGAGGCCCTGTTCCATTCATGGCCCTGCCCAGTTCTCCAGCGAGGAACATTTACATATAGGTTAGGAGATAACTCCCTAACTTGAAAAGGGCTGTAGGAATTTTCTGAGTATGTTCTCTTTGGGGAGATTCTGGGAACCCTAGACCCTGGTGGGGACAGCTGTCATCAAGAAAGTCACAGAAAAGAGATGAAAACATCCAGCTATCTGGACCCTGCTCAACTGACTTGGCTCCCAGCCATGTGCCTCATCGACTAGAAGGTGTATAACTGAATGTTAAAAAGAACTTCTAAAAGGAAGAGGGCCTGGCGTGTATGTAGTTGAAGCTCAATAGATATTTGCTGAATGAATAAACAAATAAACATTTATAAATTTATATACTATAATAGTAAATCTAAACTGAAACCCAACGTGTAAAAAGAGATTTCCTTTAATGTTTGTGTTATTGTTTTAAATAATAAATCAACTCATTAAATGCTTTGAAAAAGCACCTTCCTACAAACTAAGGTCTCTTCAGTGATCCTTGAATTTGCCTGCCTCAGCAAGGCAGAGGGGAGAATGGGGAGACTGTGTTTACTCCACATTTTGCTCTTACCAACAAGTCACTTCACTTTGAGCTTCAGTTTCCATGATTATGGGAATAACAATAACCTCTCTGACTGTAAAAACCCTACGATAACAGATGTGAAAGCACTTTCTAAACTATAAAGCACAGTACTCAAAGTCTAATTACAATGATGCTACTGCTCTGCCTTGGCTCATACAACTTTCCCACCGTGACTCTTGTGCCTATGCAAATCCTTCCTCTAGTTCAAGATCTAGTCTGCGCAGAGCTCTCCACCCTAACCTTCCAATTCTGCTTTTGCCCACTGCCCTAATTGTTCTCAACTATCATTTAACTACTGTTCACACTGAGGCTTACAGTGGGGTGCATAAAACTTAGGCAGACCTGCACTGGGACCCCACTTATGGCGAGCCCTACTGCAAGACCTTTGGCAGGTTACCTCTTAGCCTGATCAAAACAAAGATCATAACAACTGTTACAGATTTGCTGTGTGAAGCAAATGAGATCACTTATGAACTCAACTCAGTGCCTTGCATACAAGATTCAAACCATAGGGTTGTGACGGCATGTGTTGTTCTCCAACTGCTTCCTGAACTTGCCACACCCGCCCCCACAACTGGATTTTAGTCCTTCAGAGCAGAATGCCTGCCCTACTCATTTCTGAACTCACTCCCACTCCAGAAAAGTACTGAGTTCACAGTATTTTCTCACAAAAACATGTATTGAATTGATCAAATGAATTGTTTTTCTCCAAACAATACTCAGAACTTTACTGCAGTTCTATCAAGCCAACCTAAGCAAGCCAAAGTCCACGGGGTACTGTTACCTCTTCCCACCTTATTATCAAATTCAAAATGTGTAATTCCCAAAACACTTTGACAAGCCATTCACACGATGTAGCCAACTTACCACACTGGATGTACTAAGTTAGTTAACAGTCTAAAAATATTCTAGAGAAATAGACTTGATGTGGAATCTCTGCCAAATTCTGGAGCACTCTCTTTCCTCTGGGACATGAACTTAAATCTTATGATGCAGAATGTCAAAAAGAATACGTTTGAGTGCAGAAAGTCCTGCATAACAGCATGGGGGTCATGTGCTAGTACTTTGTTACAGTGGAGCAGTTCTAGTATCTTGGTAATAAGCTCTCCTAGCTGTCAAAAGTGCCACACCATAAAGATTATTATGAATATGAATAGACTAGCAATTTACAAAATAACCTGATTTAAATCTCTGTTTTCAGAAGAGAAACTATAAACTATAACACTGTCAACAACCAAATTCTTCATTTCAGATGTTCCAATTGCTCTAGGTATCATGTTTCTGTAATCACTTTAACTATTTTTCAATTGACTTGGAGATCACAAAAGAAAAATGTTCCTGGGGAACCATATCTGGCTTCTCCCAGAAAAATTAATGACTGGGAAATAACCTATAGCATACTTCCAGGCTGCTCAGTCTTGTGTCTCTTGGTGTCAAAGGTCTTTTTTGGCCAACCACTTTGAAGGTTGACTGCAAGTTTGGTCTTTTTATGGTATCCTTGAATCTTCAAACTCAGACAAGAAGAAAGGAAAACAGTACCAAGGGGGGGTACCTGTAATTCCAATGCTTAGGAGGATGAGATAGGAGGATCAGAGTTCTAGGTTGCAATAGTGAGACTCTGTCTCAGACAAACACACAAATACACACACACACACACACACACACAGAGGAAAGCAGCAATGTCAAGGTGAGTCACCTTTAAGAGTTTACATCTTACTGACTCCTAAGCACTAGCACCCTTCTATTTTTCACCTCCCCTTTCACCCTCATGATTCACTCACTCATAGCATCCTTACTAATTTCTAAGCACACAGAAGAAAGAAGGTTGTGGGGAGACCTTTGCTGGAGAACTAAACGAAGGACATGATGTTCCATTTGTATAGCTGTAAATTTTCTACTAGGAGGAAAACTCCATGTCAAATGGATAAATCAAGTGGTACTTAAATACAGAATCCAACTGACCAAAGCTAGAGCACTGAAAAGAGTGCAATCTAAGACTTTCTCTTTCTGGGAAAAGCACTTCATTTGATGATAATTAGTCTTTTACTTTTTAGTGCTCTTAACAGTCAACAGGTGCTGGGAGCAGTGGTGGTCCAAGCAATATTCTCTCCCTCAGTGGAAAGGTCCTTGTGCCGTCAATGATCGTTCCTGTAAGATAGGCTGATGTTCCCTCCTGTTTCACCTCTTTAAAGTTCACTTCCTCACAGCCCTTTGCAACCCACTGTTTTTCTTCCTAAAAGCAAAACAAAAGAGGTCCTGGTGGAAGCATGCTGTTCCCTCCAGCTATCGCAATGTTTAAATCTGAAGGACTACCAAAAGTGAGTGTGAGCAGCAATCCCGCTGTCAGATGCCCCCAGTCATAGGTTAATTATGGGCCTTGCTCTCAACTGCACTTGCCCTGACCTTCTCTCATACTGTTTCCTGACTGTGTAGCACCTGGCCCTCACCCTACTACCTGGTATTGTAGAGAGTGCAGGATGGGCAAGGGTGAAACCAAATGCTATTATTTATCCTTCACTCTGACTTTATGGGCATTTTGCTCTTAGAGGCAAAATTCTGAAGGTTTCACTTCTAGCTCACAGTGTGCACGTAACGATCCACACATCCAAAGTCCTACGTATACAGGATATATATCAAAACTACACACGGACAGAGTGGTAACACTTTTGACTATCTAACCATCCATGGACAACAACACTTGTTGAAGTGTCTGTCTTTGCTCGGCTTGTCCCTGAGGTGAGGCAGGATGACAAGACAAAAGCAGAGCTATTCTCCCTGACCATAAATGTTGGCAAGAGAAAAATACAAACCAAGAAAACAAGGACCTGCTCAATAATAACTAGCACTATCAAGAGGTAGTTAGCAGACAATCACACTTGTATTCTCCTTATGCTTTTTGACTGTAGATTTAATTTAATTTTGTCATGGCAGGATTAGCAACCAGGCCACAGAGGTGAAGGGACATTATAATAAGACAGCACATTAATCCTCTATCCCACCCAAGGCAGAAGCAAAACCAAACAAATAGCAGCTTCCTGGAAATTGAATTTCTGTTATCCAGATGTCAAAGATGTAATACCCCAATTACACAAACTATTGCCAGTGAAGCATGCCAGCGAATATGCAATGGAAATGGGGTGAGCACAGAGCGACAAAACTGCACAGTCAGCATCTGGCTCTGTGAGTGAGTGATAATTAGCACTGTGTGTAGACACTAATAAACATTTATGTCTGAAATTACAACTTTTAGCAATGTTAATAAGGGATATATTGGCAATCTGTAAAATAAAAGGTCTTGAAAAGAATGTCATACATTAAGCAATGGCAGACATTTCCCGTTCCTGCACAATCTCTTTTTTTCTCCTAATTGCAAATGGCCACGCTGTTTGGCTGAGAAATTAATTGACTCCTATACCTACCTAAAAAAATGGGTTGTGTCTCTTTGGCTTCCCCATTAACATCGCTGCTGAATTCTGAGATCTTATGTACCTCATGGTGATAATCTGGCATGAGAAAACAACCAAAAATTAGCCTCTAATGACATGAAGAAATAGGAACAAGCCAATAAATTCTAGACTCACATTCTCTATTGTATGTATAATTTACAATTTTTAAATATACGTTTTGAGAACGCAATCACAGAATTTGCAGGCAACAGTAATCCCTAAAACTGTGCTGATCTGGAAGTATGCAACTTGAAATACTACTTGACTAGAAAATAGCTGTGCTTGGTGACAAGGTCATCATGGTTAATTTTGCACACAGATGCCAATTGTCTTCTTTTCTCTGAGACTACAAGTATGTTTGCAAGAAAAAGAAAAATCTTGCCAAACATAGGTCAGGGGAAATTCCTAAATTTATCTCCACAACCCATTTTTATGAGCATATCAATTTAGTTACCTGTGCTCCTGGTTTCTCAGTTTACCCAGAAAACCCCAGCCTTTAAGCAGCTTAAAGGCAAGCACACATGGAAAATACCAACTTGTTATATCAAATAAAGCATAATTTGAAAGGAAGCAAGATTTATCTTTCACACAAGGGAACCTTACGCATTTAGCTACTGCACTTTCATATGTAATAGTTTATTTTCTTAAAAACACACACACACACACACTTGCACAGCAGAGAGAAAAATCAGATCCATAATTTAAAAAAAAAGGAAAAACTTACTATGTTAGTCAAAGTTTAAAATACAGTATTTTATGAGCCTCTTTATTGGTTACTGCGCTTTGGTGACCTTCTATTTCTTAAAAAGTAGGGTTACCTACATATGAAAATACAGGTCCCTTCTTAACAGTTATTCAGGAGTTTGTTTTGTTTTAGGCCTTAGATGTCACAGGATGATGTGACAAAACTACTCTCACTTTTAAGACAAAGTAGTGAGTTCCCTGAAGTCATAAATAAGAAAGCTGCCTACATTCCTGAATGACTCAGACAGGGTAATCACACAGGGAAAGACTTTTAGCTACAAGTAACTGAATAGTCAACATCCCGTGGAACACAAAAAATTTACAAAGTAAGAGAAGAGCCAAATATTTGGAACACATAAACTATTTCAGGCCTCTTTCATTAAACAGTTCCCAACTAAATTAGGGGAAACAGAGAATGGTCTATCATTAAGCCATTTTCAGACTAACCAAAAGTGGGCTCTACTTTGAATGGGCATCTCAGCTGGCTCAGCTGAGTTTGAAAAAGTTGATTATTTGCAGTTGCCCTCCAATTTCCATCTGTTTACATGAGACTGCTGCAGGTTGTTGAAACAAGCATGTGGCTTTGTGCTCTGCTGCCAATGCTAGATAATGCAGCCCAGGACAAGTGCACAGGTTCTGGGGCTTGGCTTTGACCTCAAGCTAATTCAAAGATACTTAAAGAGGGTGGGTCTAAAGTCAGTATCAGGACTTGTGACATTACAGTGGGGGGAAAAAAGTCATCTGCCTCCCACTTAAGGTGACAGATACCTTCAGGACTGCTCTTAAAGAAGGAAGCCCCGCTATAACAAGTGACTGAATACAGACCGGACTCTTCAACTTTCCCCTCCTGAACAGAATAAAAGTCAGAGTATGATGTACACCTGTTAAATCCTCAGAACCTGGCTGGATGGATTTTTCTTTTTCATTCTTTCTTTTCTTCTTCTTCTTCTTTTTTTTTTTTAATTTGCAATGATACTTGTCTAACTAGTATGCGATCTGGTTTAAAACCCCTTTCCACCCCAAACCGGCCAGCTAGAAAACAGAAAAGAGGCCCGAGGATGTCAACAACTCTGCTTTGGGTTTGGACACCCCAGGAGCTGCTTTCTTCTTCTTAAAAAGAACCACGATCATCTTTTTAAACTAATTTATTTTTAAAATTCCCCTTCTCTTAGTGGGGAGGGGAGCGGCGCCCGCACGGCCTGGCGGGCCGGGCAGCCCAGGGTTACTCCAGCCCCGAGGGGGGAGGGTGGAGAGGACCTGGGTCCCCCGGTGTCATTGTGTGCGGATTTCCTGGCGTGCCCTCCGACTTGTTTACATTCGGTAACCCCGCGCCTCCCCGGCACAACTTTCCCCGCCGCGGGCCGGGGGCAGTGGGAGGGACCGGGGTCGGGGCGGGCGCGTCCTCGGCGTGTGGACCCCGCGCGGGCGGTCGGGCGGGCGGCGGGGCGCGCGGGGCCGGGTGCGCGGCGCGCGGCGCCTGTTCCCCCGGGCGGGCGGCCGCTTACCTCGGCTCACCAGTTTGAAGCTCTGGGATTTCCTGCTTCTTTTCCTCTCCGAGAACTCCATGGTGCGGGGAAGGCAGCGGTGGCGGCGGGGCTGAGGCGGCTGAACCGGGGGAGGCGGCGACGCGGGTTCGTGTCAGCGCCACGGAGCCGCCGGGACCCAGGTCCGCGTCTTGAATCCGCGGTGGCCGCGGGGCTGGGGGGAGGCCGAACCCGGGAGGAACCACCGCGAGCCCGCTCGGGGGCTACGGGTCAAGTTGTCCCCGCGCGGCGCCGCCTCCCGCCGCCTTAGGCGTCCCCCCGAGCCCCTCTCATGCCGGCTCGCTGTTTCCAGACGCCGCCCGCCGCAGCCCAACTTTCCGTTGGGAGCGGGCCGGGCGGGGGCGCGGCGGCGGCGGGGAGGGCGCGGCGGCGGTGGCGGCGGGCCGGGCTGAGCCTGCGGACGCGGTGGCGATGGCCCCGGGGACGCGGAGAGCGGAGGGAGGGAAGGGACGGAGGGAGGGAAAGGAGGGAGGGTGGTGGTGGTGGTGGCGGCGGCGGCAGCGGCGGGTGCGGAGCCGGCCGGGGCGCTGACCGCCCCCGCGGGAGGAGGGGCGCCGCGCGCGGAGGGGGCGGCGCCGCCGGGACCCGGGCCACCTGCTGGCGGAGCCCCGCCGCCGCCATCCCCACCCCCCCCACCCCCAGGGCAGCTGCTGCCACGGGCCTGGCCGCGCGGCGCCCCGAGGAGGCGCGGAGGCCGCGGCGCAGCGAGCGAGCGAGCGAGCGCCCTGGCCCCGGTCGCGTGCGGGAGACGCGGAGCGGTGACGGGCCTCGGGCCGCGTGCGGAGCGCGCTCATCGGCCTCCGTCTGCCGCCCCGGGGGCCGCGCTGCTCGGTATGTAAATAGTCCCCGGGGGTCTCGGCGGACCCTCGGTGAGCAGCCCACTACCTGGCCTGAGAGCCGAGGTGTCAGGGCCGGGTTCGCTGGGTTTAGGCAAGTTGTTTTTTTTCTCTTTTGGGGGGTGTGGGGGGACAGAAACTTACCCACCATCCGCGCTGTGCGGGGAAACGGGAAGATTTTAGAATTGTTTACGGAGAAGAGTATAGAAAAAGAGTGAGCTTCAGCTGTCACCCCGATCCTGGGAGCGGTAGGAAGCTCCCCAGTTACTGTCAAGGGGAGCATTTAGAATGTGGGATTTGGGGAAGCGGTGAAAGGGGCGTGGGGTGCTTCATGACCGCCGACTGTTGAGGAAGCAGGGGTCACAGCAGGTGCAGGGGACTCTGCTACTTTATGTAAAAATCCACCCCCCCCCCAATGACATACGCAAAAAGCTGCTATTAGTTTTATGTAATATTCTCCCGGGAGCTCAGAGCGTACTACGGGCACCATGTCTTACATCTTTTTTTGAGCGGGGAATAGAGAAGAATTTTACATCACCTGGGAATGGCAGTACAGGAACATGATCTGACATGCTGAAAAGTTCCGCCGCCAAACCTATGGTTCCCAGATCAAAATACAAAGAGAATAAAGGGGTGGGCTACCCCTCCAGCACAGGTGGCCCCAAAGGGGAGAGAAAAAAAGGGGGAAGTATATTGATGCCTGTGACGAGTCCCACTGTTTGTCCCACTCAAATGAGAAGCTAGCCACTCTGATTTAACAGGGACATACAGAGTAGGACAGTCACCCAAAACCAGGGGCGGAGGGTGGGGCGTTGGAAGCAGCTAGCCCAAATATATGCTGGGAAACAAAACCCCAAAAGACGGTAAGCTACAAAGCAAGTACTTGGCCAGCCGGATGGAGTCACATCCTGAGGTCTTGGGTAGTGTGCAACAGAAAGGAAGCAGCCTAGAGGTGAGAGTGAGAAGGGTCCAATACAGCCAATCCGTAAGCAAGGTCACTGAGTTTGAGGTTATGTTAGAAATGTCCTTTTCCCCCAGAAAATATGTATGGGACAAATGAAGTTTTTATTTCTTGGAGTCCAGAGACCCCTTGGAACTTCAAGAGGTATGAGAGGGGATTTAAGTGATAACAGTGATTAAAGGAATTACCCGATTTGGTTCTTTTTCTCCCCATCCCCTTTCTTTAAAAGCAGGTTTAAAAACCTGAAGATCTCTGGGAAGTTTTTAAAGAAACAAAGCATTCTGTTTATTTCACTGGTCTGGCCCCAGTCTTTCCTTTTGCAATTTCTTGTCAAATGTTACTTCAACGGCCACATGTACTATACTGACTGAGGACTACTGAGGATTGTTCATGCAGTCTCATCAATGAGATTTTATTACACTTAAACTATGATGAAATCACTGAAGGTGTCATCCCAAGAAGCAAATCCCTGGGGAGAATATTAGCAATTTAGCATTTTCAGTTCAAGTAGAAATATGAATTCCACTTTCTGAAGAGAATATTTTTTATATTGTTGAGAAGAAAATATTTTAAAGAAATTTAAAATAATCATTTTTCCTTAACCCTTTTAACCTGGCTCTCTAAAGATGGCCTATTAGTGAGTTGCTCTGCAGAGGACATGGGCTGGCCTGTCCTATTAACTTTTAGAAAAAAATAGAGGTTTATTCTCTGCTTTGTGCAAATCATCATGCCTTTACCTAACAGAATGTATATCTCCATAATTAGTATTAAGCAATATTAATTATAATATTAAAATGTGATTGCTTTCAGAGGTAGATATCTGTACTAGTATGCTTGGGTTACCTTAACAAAATACCGTAGACCGGGTGACTTAAATAATAGAAAATTATTTTCTTATTTTGGAAGCTGTAAGTCCCAGATCAGGGTCCAGCAGGCCCTGTTTCTGGTGAGGGCTGTTTTCTCAGCTTGCAGACTGCCACCTTCTCCTCTTGCTGTTGTCCTCACATGGCACGCACTGAGAGACAGGGATCTCTCTCCCTCTTCCTATAAGATCATTGGTCCTATTGGATTAGCACCCTACTCTTATAAGCTCTTCTAACCTTGATGATCCATAATGAAAGGCCCATCTCCAAGTATAGTCGCATTAGGACTTAGGACTTCAGTATAGAAATTGATTGTTGGTGTTAGTGTATTTTAGTTGTACAAAGGGCTTAGTTACCCTGTGGTGTTTCACACATGCATATATTGTAACTGATCAGATGAACCCCTCTCTATTGCCCTCTCTTTTCCCCATCAGCATAGGAATTTTGAGAGGATACTATTCAGTCCCTAGCAGTATTGTTTTTGTCTGCATTGAGGTGCTGGGATATTCTGGAGAGCTCTGCTAAGGTCATTTGTCTGCCTCAGTATTTGAGAGTTCCCAGAATCAGAACCACAGGTTTATGTGTTACTAGCATCCAGGGAAGACTGGTGAACTATGCCATGACATCATGCAGCTCAAACATCTTATTATATGACCATTTGAAAACCCAGTTGATTATAAAGATTACATGTAGGTTTTAATCTTTGACAAAGACAGGTAATTTGGCCAGAAGACATTAACCATAATACTAATTCTTAAAACTCTCTGAAAACTCTATCCTGAGAGAAATAAATAGTATTATTTATTTCGAGTCCTACTGTCCAACAGAAATACAATGCAAGCCACATGTGTAAATTTAAAAAAATTATTAGCCACCTTAAAAAAAGTAAAGATCAGCCGGGCACTGGTGGCTCACACCTGTAATTCTAGCTCCTTGGGAGGCTGAGATCAGGAGGATTGGGGGTGGAGGCCAGCTTGGGTAAATAGTTCATGAGACCACCCCCATCTCCAGACTAGCCAGAGAAAAGTGGTCTAGAGGTGTGATTCAACCTGTAGAGTGCCTGCATTCTAGAGCACGCTTTGCAAGTGTGAAGCCCTGAGTTGAAACCTCATCAAAAAAACAAAAGTGAAAATCAGGTAAGTTCATTTTATTGATTGATTATTTTATGTAGTCCAGGCTGTCCTTGAATTCACAATCTGGTTGTCTCATCTAAAAGTGAAAATCAGAGTAAGTTCATTTTATTTATTTATTTATTTATTATTTTATGTAACCCAGGCTGTCCTTGAATTCACAATCTGCCTGATTCAGCTTCCGGAACACTTGAATTACAGGTGTGTACCACTACACCTGGCAGATTTAATACATTTTAATTATATATCTTATTTAGCTGGATACGTTAAAATACTATCATTTCAACGTGTAATCAATGTAAGAATGTTACTGATATATTTTATATTCTTTTTTATGCAGAGTTCTGAAACTGGTATGTGGGATGTATTTTACACTTGAAGAGTAATTGATCATGCCAGGTTCCATGTGCTTAGAGGCCACATGCTAATACGGTGGCCTGCCATATTGGACAGCTCAGGTCTGGAGGAACTACATGCGTTCCACCACGCTGCACATATAGATACGACTACAACTTGATTTCTGTTTGTTTCTTGAATGGTATTACTGAGCTTGAGCTTTTTCATCAGCCTTTGTTTGGACTCTCTGGAATTGAAATTCTAGTCTCTAAATCTAGGACTCCTTCAGGAAGACTTAGTAAGAATAATAAATACCAACTTTTAAATTTTATGACACTCACCATCAGAAGTGCCATGGAATTAATAGCCTCACTTTTGCTCCTATTTCTTAATTTTTTCCTGGCCTAATACAAGCTTATACACTTGTTTACTTTCTTTGTTTTAGTGCTTTTAATTTTTAAAAAAGAGAAAATTTGAGAATGTGCCATAGATAAGGTTGCCTTACATTTTTATGGGGCTTTTCTTTCAGAAACCCAGGGATATGTACACAGGATTTAATTCTCTTAATCACTCTATAAGGTTGCTATGTGTTAATGTTCCAGTTTTGTAACAGAAAAATCTCAACTAAGAGACCATTTTTAGTGAACCTAGAATGGCAAGTCAGTTTCCTGACGCTTATAAGTGATGGACTAACCTTACTGTCTTTCTCCCATTTCTTTAAACTTTTACATCCTTTTCGTTTTTATTCAGATTTAACTTATATAAAAATACAAATATTAATTGGACACTTCAATTTCTTTTGCTAATACAGACATCCATGTACCTACCACCCAGATGAAGATACAGAACTTTTCTAAGCACACCCATAAGTTCCCATGAGCTCTCCTCCAAGTGGACACCCCCCCACATGAAAACCATGCCCTAACCTCTGTCACTTTAACTTGGGTTTGCCTGCCTTTGTGTTTTACAGAAATGGAATCATATACAGTGAATACTATTTTGCATCTAATTTCTTTAGCTTAACGTGTCTGAGATTTATTCATTTTGGCTGTGGTTGTAGTTCATTCTTTTTCATTGCTATATGTACTTTTATTATATGAATAAACCACTTTTAAAAATCCATTCTGCTGTTTATGGCTGTTTTTGTATGGTTCTTACATGGTTCATGTCTTTTGGTGTATAAAGCTATTTTATCTTATGTATAAGAGCATGAGTTGTATTGTTGAATCACTACATATATATTTAGATTTAGTGACTTGCTATCAAAATAGTTTTTCTAACTACTCCTATCAAATTAC